CATCTCGGATAATATCGGTGGAATATTGTCATGCTAGACAATATCCCTATTGACACCGTTTGGTGTCAACATCATGTAACGGGCTACCCCATTTCAGGTCCAGCTCGATCCCTAATTGGTGCCGCTGATAGCTTGTTCTTGCAAGCATAAATCTTCTGAAACGTAGTGGTAATGAAACTGAAAACATTCACTACAAACTTCAAGATCGATGCAGTAGAGGTCTGGAGAGTAGAGACAGACGTCTTGAAGCATGGTCTTGGCATAAACTTCAAGCTATTTTGATTGCTCTAAAATGATTTTGACGTTTATTGGGAAAGTACTACCTCTTAACGAGACTATCGAACAATCGAGTTTTTACCAAAGAAGCTCAGCATCGCCATAAATTGATTTTGCGAGCCCTTGGACGGCTAAGGACGTCCATCGGACCGTCGCTAAAGGTAAAAATCATATTTACAAGCATCTATATTACCGCGATGAATGCTTTAGCAGGAAGGTCTAGTAATGACAATAAATACTAACTTCGACAACGTTTACAAATAAACAGATAGCGCTTTCATCTTAAGATGTCCTGATTCGATGAAGATTTCACATTTGAAAATTTAATAGAATTTTGACAATATATAGTAAGAAAAATACAGAGTGCTGGATATGCGGGATGCACGGGACGGATATAGCTCGTCTCACCTTCCATCCTGCGCGGAATAGGATATGGGATCCGCAGAATGGGACACTGCAGGACGGAGCCCTCTAACGGACTGCGAGACTCTTAATATGCATCGACAAGAACGCCATGGTCTACAATCTAGTCCAATCCGTGCTCGTCTCGAATAAATCTTAAAGCAAGTCAAAGCCGAAAATTGCTCACATATCTGATCCAACCATTTTCTCGTCGCCGGGGGAGGCGAGCGTGCAAATCAGTCAACATGCAGTGCTGTGTGCACCTGTACCCAGGTGCACAAGCGCAAGAACTCAATACTTGTTAAAGCCGGGTAGGAAAGGTTTCGCACCGAACAATACGCCTGACAGACACGCATGAACGGCAAAAAAGCTGGGCTGAGCCGATGCCTTCCTGGTCGGGTACCGAGAAATGAGCTGATTTGGTACAAACTAGGCTGGAATCAATCACAAAAGATGTGTGTGGGCCTGCCAAGCCAAACAAACAACACGTAAATGGGTCTATGCTAAACTTTGGGAATGACCCCAAAGTATTGTCACTTCAAGAAAATAATCTGGTCCATGGAACTTAGCCGGTCATTATAACGCATCGGTGCAGATTTAGGTTACGATAGTCCTTTCGTGTGTGATCTGCTCTGTAGCGGAGCTACACCGCTCCTCAAGTCAGAGGAAGACTTTTGCTCAAAGAGCGATATTCGGTTTAAAGAAATAGACTTTATGAGTCGACAAGCGTAAAGCTTAGAGTCACTGTTCCAGGACACCGAATCGATTCAGTGAATCTACAGCACTTAGTACTCAAACGTAGCTACCTCAGGGAGCTGTTGCTTACTTTTAACGATCTACGATCAGAGACGCCTCGCAAGACAGGTGTCTTAGACAAGATCAAAAGGGGAACTGAACCTTATTTGCGTAGATATCGTTATCCTAATATCACCTAATCTAGGCACTCATGTCCTAAAATTGGGATCTTTAAGAAATTTCCCATCTGTGGCTGACGCCCGTCAGCCCCTATAAACCGTTAAGATATTCTATGTCTCTTTCAGTGGGATACCACCAGTGTGTGTAAAAACAGGGTACAAGTACCCTATGATGTGTAACCCTTTACGTCTTGACTCTTCTGAGCAAGTTAGGCGATACACTATATACAACGAAACGAGGGCGGCGGTATCGACATATGCTCATTCTACCTAAATTCGTGTACACAGCTCAGTGCTGACCCGCAATTAAAAATGCAGACGCATTGTCACGGTAATGGTGACTATTCGCCGTGGAACTGCGTCTCTATCAGATACCATGCGCAGTCTTGGACAAAATGTCTGATCACTTCATCACAAAAGGCTTTGTAGCATAAGATTGTGCTCGATCGATAGCTGATGGGCCTGACCGATCATCTCTCGACAGCATCTAGTGCATTCGGATGATAATGCGCGGCGCTCGCACAATGCCGAGCAGCTTGTTCAATGGGCGAGTAACGAGAATAGCAGCTGTAACGTAAAGCAGCCTTCAAGGCTGCGTGATGACCATGGATTGCTCGTTACGGGACGCGCCTGCGTCGCAGCACTCTGGAATGTGTTGGTACATGATGAAAGAATGAGCACCCGTTAGTCAATACAACGAATCATGAGCGCCTGTGTAAGCAGACACGTCCATGGTATGCACTCCTACGGGATGAGCGACCCGATAATCGATACAACGAATCATGGGCGCCTGTGCAAGCATAAAAGTACACGGTATGCACTCCTACAGGATGGCGTCTTCGTAGAAAAATACTATTCTTACGCGTGCATCGAATTACCAAATTGCGGACTTAACTTGACGGATTTTACTTCTCTTCTGTTGTTAAAGGACGTCGAGCACGTGTACAATAGGCGGCTTCAGACCGAAAACGTGTCCCTTTAACTTCTCGCCAATTTTTGTCGATATCACGTCTCCTGCGACAGCCAAATCATACTTACCAGATAAGCTACCCGATGAGGCTTTGAGTAAACGAGCATGTTATCGCGTGGGCCATGCGTACACTACTGGTGATGTCTGGTCAGACTGAATGTCGACTAGGAGACCAAATATATTTACCGCTTTTGATCTTCTAGTAAACACTCTTCATTGCATAAGCTGTACATGTAAGGGAAGGTAAATAACGCTGCAGGGAAGTAGATATCTGCGAGCTCCTATGTCAAGTACTTGGACAATTACGTGCGTTTATCGACAGGGAGCGCAGAAAGGTACGTACAAAAGCGCAAGGAATACGTCTCGTGCAACGCACTGAAATGGTACACACTAGACGTTCAAGAGCATTGCATCATGTGATGAGTCTCGCATAAATATCGGATCAGTATATCTAACGCGGCGCAGGATTTCCAGACATCTTGAACACTTAGACGAACGTTGAAAAGACTGTCCGGTGATCTCACTGCACGTGTGTATATCTAGAGCAGTAACCGAGTCTTTTGGGGTTCAGCGTTGCACCGACACAAATGCCGTAGTCTACAAGCCATTGGCCATGCTCGTCTTGGAGGGATCTTGAAGCTTGTCAAAGCTAAAACTGGCCACAAATCTGACCCGACCCTTTCCTCGTCCCGTGGGTGAGCGCGTGTTAGTCTATAGACAGTGCTGTACTCAGGTGTACACGCGCTAGGATCGGTACCTCCAAAAGCCGGAGTGGGACAGGTCGTACGACGGACAACGCGCCCGATGAACACGTAGCGGAGTAAAACACAGGGCTCAGCCGATGCCTTTCACTTGTCGGATACCAATAAATAAGCTACTTCAGAACAAACTCGTCTAAAATGTTTCGCGGAAAATGTGCTTGTAACACTGATGCCGCACAAACAAGACGTAATGTGTCCGCTACACATGTGGGTCGACACCAAAAAATGTCACTTTAAGTCGGTGCATTGGCCCGTAGAAATCAGCTGGCTACAACGAAGCATCTGTGTGGGTGTAGGCCTAATCAATCCTCTGAAGTGTGAGCTGCTCGAAAACAGTACTACGCCCGAAAATTGCCAGTTTGACGACCTTCCTTCACCACCAATTGAGCGGATCTTACTTCTATGATGTTCACCTGTCGATCGACATGTTGTCAGGTACTTGGCAGCACAAGCGCATCAAAAGCCAAGCTACAGCAGTGCGGTACTACGCATGCAAGCTCAGTCAGTTGCCGATTTCAACGAGACTTCTTCAAGTACGTCAGGTATGATTCATTTAACTATCACAGCTTCTAGATCAAGACTGTTCAATTGTATTGTGCCAGATACGCTTCAAATGCAAACGCAAGATTATATGTTGTCGGCTCTGCAAAGTTCGCGGTTCTGCGACGTGCAGCTGTGCGTCAATTCCTATCGACAGCGATCATGTCACAGGTCAAGCACTTCTCAAATGTTGAGCGGCGCACGATCTCCTCTGATGATTTTTTTTGACTTCACATTACCGTGTCACGCACGCCCAAGAAGTTCATGTCTATTCGAAGTGTACCTGACTCTCCGAGCTGTGGGGATTTGATGTCCAGGAACCAGATGTGGCATTAGGCTGCGGCAAATCTACGCTGAATCCAACGAACAGATTATCAGGCCAAGAACGTTCGTAGCTAATTCGTGTAGATTCTGCTCAGCATATGGTGCCAGGCTGCTTGCATGTCTTCAGCACACACGTGCCATCTTGACTAGGAATAAGGGGAACAGTCTAAATGACTGAGTCAACAGGATGCCACGCTGTTGCTACAGCGTGGCGTCCTGCTAGGTCTGCAAGTGGCAGATCTAGCCTCGTCAGATAGCGATGGTGACCATTGACCTCAAATGCAGAGGCAAATCGGTAACGAAGCAAGCTTTTGTGCTGTGCCTGATGACAAACGGTAGCCGAAATCTTTGCATTGAACTGCACGTGCTTACAGCAACTATGCATTGTCGATTAAGACCAGAAAGATGACGTACTAACGTTAAGGCACGAATATATACAAGGCTCTCGACGGTATTCTGGTCCGATCGGATGTACAAAGCCAGCACCGCAGAGGTCTTCCCGCTCTCTGTCTTCATACTCGACCTTCGTTCAGGTTTTATACTGGAATATAGGCGTAGTGATCCCATGCATTGATGCTTGCGCCAATCATTATTGAAGCAAAGGCCATCGCCTGGTTACAGGCAGTCTTTTACAACTGCAACTGTGTTGCAGATGCACCTGACATCATCTGATGATTGCTGCCAGTGTCATATATTTTTACAGCTGAAGTAAGGAAGAATGTATCTGAGCTACTGGTTCACCCGTCAAGCAGCTTCATTTATCAATTTCCGCTCGACCTCAAACCCCTCTCCTGCCGGCCGCTAAACCTTGACATGAAAGTTTTTTGCCTCCATGCACATCTCGCTGCTGGTGTGGTGTGTGCTATCTCTGACCGCACCTATGGTGGCATTGATCTAGACGCCACTGCTTCTGGCGCTAGGGCTATCGAGCAAACGACGGTCAAGAGACAGCTAAGGGCCGGTGCCGATGTCGAGACCGAAGAACGAGGGGGTTCGCCAGCTGAGATGGCCAAGACTGCTCTCATCGTGCCCGATAAGTGGCACCTACTCGAATCAGCCAACGATAACTCGGCCACTCGCTCTGCATTAGAAAGTCTTGACGAAAACGATCATGACTTACTTAGCAAATATGTGATGGAACAGGTGTCCGGTGAAAACCCTGATTATATGCAAGAGATGAAACTAAGCGACAAGAAACAAGAACTTAAAAACGCTATTGCAGATTTGTCGGAAGTCATACCAGAGGATTCGGCTATGGAACTGATCCGGTCCGCTGCACTTCATCGGTTCACGAAATCCGTCTCTGATCCGAAGAATGGGGATCCATTAAACACGCAGGACTATGCTCAACAGATCCTTGACTTGGAGAGTGCTACCGAGATCATTAAGGACGGCATTCAACGGAAAGTCGCCAAGATGGCAGTCGCACAGAGGAAGTTCGCCCGTAACTTCAATTTTGCAAGTCGTTAGATCGCTCTGAGTAAATAACGTCATTTCTTTTCGTTTTATTCTAAGATTTCATGTAACGGAATTACTAAAACAGTGGTCATAATTAGGTGTGCTGGTGTGAAACGCACATTTTTTGGTACATTACAGTCATTTAGAGAAACTAACGACCCGAAAATGCCCGTCCGGTAGGGGCCTACATATCCCCCGCCGCTGTGCTAACTACCAATAGTGTTAGCAAATATAACCTAAGGTTGCTTACCGAGGGTCGTCCCCCTGTCTATCGGCTTGTCTAGCCGTATCCCATAGCGTGTCATGCCAGTGCCCCAGGTCGCTACGTAAGTAGGTCGTAACGACCGCCAAATGAAACGCACATGAAGAGATCAGTGAAACTGAGAAGCGTATCATTGTATCACATACGCTAGCGGTTAAACTGTACCTTATCGATTACGAATAGATGGTTTCTATCGTAACAGGGTCTTGAAAGTACGGCGTAGATCTGGTTTGGTAACACCAGACGAACCTGCATCAGGACTCCTCGATTAGGCAGCATAGTTTTAAGATTAAAGACGCAAGTAAGGTATATTATCGCTATTAATCAGTAAATAAAACCAGGCCCCTTTTGATTAGTTTTAAGTACGTGTCTTGCTAAGACGTCTTTAGCCATAATAGTCAAGAGCCTGTGTAAAGGCTAGTTTTTCTGGATATTAGTGCTGCATAGTTGCTCAGAGTCATTAGTCCACTGGACCAGGACTAGAAGCTTGCGAGCTTGTAAAGACGCTTAGAATTAAGTCTCACTAAGTGAGAGAGGACTAGAGACCTTTGAGGTATACACCCGTTTAGTTTGGTAGGCTAAGAGACTCTACGAGTCTACAAGTCTTCCTCTGCCTAACGAGTAAGGGTGGATTCGCTACATTCCAAGTTTTTACCTTAAGTCTAGTATACCTGCTTATTTCTGCTTGGGTATTGTGCAGATCTCAAAGCTATGACAACCGTAGAACTTGGAAAAAGCTGGAGATGATATTTGAAAACAAATAAGAGTGACTTACGACACATTTGTCGACTAAAATCTTAATGGCAAAAGCTAAAAAAACATCTAGACAGCTTGAAGAGTAGTTGTTGTGGTAGTATCGAAAATGCACGCTGTCACAGAGGAATGTAAGGTCTAATTTAAGTGAAAAAGAATCTCCAGCAGTTTGTATAACTTAGCATTTTGTGCATTACATTAATTTTAGTCGAAGCTATAAAAGTGCGCCACAGCAGCAAAATAACTCAGGGGATAACTCGAGAAAAGTATTTGTTTGTCATCCTGCCTACATTTCGAAGGTGTACGACACCCGAAAGGCTGCATCTTATCGCCTCGAGGATACAAGATCTCTCAATTTATGGGCGAAGATCATTTGTATGTTATTGGCTGCTGTTCAGAGAATAAAAACGATGGATTTGAAGTCGACGTTCGAGGATAAATGACACGAGCAACACTATTTCTTTGAACTTGATTGATGATTAAAATATTGGCGCCCATAGTCTTACTAATCACGTGTAACCTAGAAAAAAAAGACTTCCAGTCATATTGACTTCTGTGAATCGTTTGCATATAAGTGTATGTGGAATTATACTGATCTCTTATAGTTGCACACAAAAAACTGTGGTACTCGCTGCTGCCTAAATAACACATAAGTGTGATCTAAGACTTCAATGCACTCCCTTTGATAACTTCTCTCGAGGCATCACATCTGGTAGCACTTGTTGGTCATTCAATCCAAACGTCAGACCCAAACCTTGTTTAAGACCCGACCCGAACCTTGACCGGTATAACTTAGACTTCAACATGTTATTGACGCTAGCTTTGAGCTCGCGGAGCAGACAGATTTGTAATCTGTTTATGTAGATGTGATCGTGCCCATAAAGCGGAGTTCATGGTAAACATACTCGCGTTGTTGCGCAGCAGCAAGAGGTTATGCGGAAGATTGCAGAGGTTATAGCATTGAAAGACTCAAGGCTGGACGCGGTGAAGGCAACACGTTACGTAGGACAAGTGCAGGAATCGTTTGCGCTTTTTAAGGAACAATTGCATCAGTATTTCACAGTGAGAAAAATTGACTAGAAAAATGCAATGATGGCAAAAATGATGATCCGTACGATTAAGAGCATGCTAACCGGCACTTCAGCAGAGTGGTTCGTCTGGTCGTGAACCGGAACTACGAATGTTGATGAGCTGCTCTCTAATCTAAAGCAGATGTTTGTAAAAGCCGATGATCTAATTCGGCTCCGTGATCAGCTTCGGAATCTCACCCGAGCGCACTGTCGAGACCTGAAAGATGTTTTAAAGGTTTAGAAAGCTAATAATTCAAGCTCAAAACGTGAATCAACATCGATTTATTTTTCTACTTTACACAAGGTTGAATAATCAGACGCGTGCAAAAGACGACAAACAAAACAAATCATCTCTGGCCCAGGCAAGAAATTTCACTTACAATGTAAAAATATTTCATTTCGGCGTTGGAAAAAATTAAGACGTACCCAGCAGATTCGTTGTAGAGAGCTGGCTACTCGGTAACATTTTGAGGAGTTCCAACACGAGCCAAAGAGAATTGACCAAGTGCAGGTTTAATCGAATGAGGATTGGAGTCAAGGCAACGTGTATTTATTGCAATCAAACAGGACGTCGACTCGCAGGATACCCGACAAGACCAAACAGCCGAAAGAAATCGCGATCAAAGGCGCGAAGACGTCAAGCAGGGGATAAAGTTTGATCGATATGCTATTAATGGGGTGCAAGTCAAGGAGGGCAGTCAGTTACTGTCCCTGTATCGTAAAAATGGCGTAAATAATGGTTTGCCGGTGAAGATACCGCTAGATTATGTACCTTCAATTATTGTTATCCGCCCCATACTGGCTACAAATATTGTTAGTTAGCAAAGAGGACAGCTAAACTGATTTGATAAATTGCATTCAAATTCAGCGGAGCTGTCGAAAGTTGAAGGGACTGTACTTTCTAGCCAAGGCGAATTTTCTAAAAAAATTTACTAAGAGTTCTGTGGATGCCAATCGGTACGTATTTTCGGTCTTTCGTGGTTTCAGAAACACGATCCGCAAGTAAACTGTGAGTAAGGACAATGTCGACTACAAGTAGGTATCTATAAGGCCAGTGGACACAGAAAAACTGATGGTCCAGATGAACCCTTGCAGCCAAGTCATAAAGCCATCTGACCAGTCACGAATAACTTACGTGCGCGGAAAAGATTAGACAGGGCTGTATTTTGTTGAAGTTGTTCTTGTCCGATTGGAAGACGCTATCCCATTATTGGCTCGAGTGATTTATAGTTCGGCGTACAGTTATGTGTGGTATAGTAGTTCTTAAGTATGAAGCAATACAGCCTTAAATGCACAAACACAACAATCACCGAGTTGGGGGACGAAATGGGCTAGTACGTTAGGATAACATGTATTCTCTGTTCGACCCTTCGGGTTAAGTGTTGCTATTTTCTAACAGATTTTTGCAGCCGATTCCTCCTGAAGACTTCCTGAGCTCAGCATCTACTAAACCTTTCACTGTCACTCATACTGATGGGAGGATGTCGGCGATATTACGCGTTTACAGGCCACCGGGCGCAGCACACGCCCGACTAGAAGACTTACGGTGTCATTTATTTAAGACTCACCGGCTCTTCACTCGTCACGTCTTCAAGCAGTGCCGTCTTTGGTTTACCGAAATTTCGCTTGAACAGACTCGAAATGGTGCCGTATTTCGGACCACCGGCTCGCCGTGCGACGAAACGCATAACGGTGGCACCGATCGGGTCAACGGATCGTCCCTCGATGAGACTTAAAACGGTGCTATCTACTATGCTACCGGCTCACCGTGCGACGAGACTCAAGACGGTGCCACCGATTGGCTCACTGGCTCGTCTCTCGACGAGACTCAAAATGCTGCCGCCTGTTGGGTTGCCGGCTCACCTTGCGACGAGTTTCAAGACGGTGCCACCGATTGGCTCACCGGCTCGTCTATCGACGAGACTTAAGACATTGATGCCTATTGGGCTACATGATCGCCGTGCAACAAGCCTGATCTTTTGCTGCAAGAGAAAAATGTGCACCCGGGACAGCTCAAACTCTTGGCGCTTCCAGTCGAAACCTCTACAAGCTATGCCTCTCGAGGTTAAACGGTAGGAAAAATTCAACACACGCTGAGACTTATGTGAGGAGTACACGCGTTACTAGGACGTGTAATTCTGCTCTGTATCAACTATCTCTTCTTTGGTGGAAGGGAACCATTAGATGGCTTCCCTTATTCCTCCTATCTATCCCATACAACTACCTGGTAACTTGGACCATCGATATTCCAGCTGCTTTGATGAGTTCAAGCTCGTCTAGTTAAGACATAAAGATCGTGAGCTCGACGAGCTTGAACTCGACATGTCATGGCTCGACCATTCTTCATAAACGAGACTTCACTCGACAAGTCTTCACTCGACGAGGTTTAGCTCGACGAGCCTCATTCTACGAGTTTACCTCGTTTTGATCTCAAATAGCTATATCTGAACTCGTCAAGACATGCTGGACGTTCCCCTCATGACGATTTTATGCCATTGTCTTGTCAAGTTCCGTCCTCTATAAACTAGCAATACTAGAGAATATCACTTCAAAAATTTCGTACACCACAGATAGTGTGGAAGTGCGTCCAGTAGTTTTTCTAGAAGGAGATCTCCTTCCAGAAAAACTACCGGACGCACTTTCACAACGACATGGGGCAAAGTTTGAAGTCGAGATGAAACCATATACGCTTCCGAGCTCCTAGACCCCGTACCTTTTTCTAAGACTGCGAGAATCTCTTAAGATGTTTGTTTCGGCAACCCAAAAAAGAAAGAATTGAAGTCTGAAACTAATCGGGGGTAATAGATGTTTGGCATTCTAAAAAGAACCATGTTAAGGGACAAATCCAATACGCGACGAGTAATTAAAAAAGAAAACAGCTTCTAGCTATTTTTTGTGTAATCGATTATCGCTACGTGAGAATTCACATCAAAATATCAAAATATCTAAGATCCTGCTTCCTTTATCGAAGAGCTGTTTGATTGAATTACAGGATGCGCTATACACAAGGTGATTGGGTTGGCACAGGGTTATCATCAGAATCTTGTCAACATTTTCAATCGTCATTATGCGGTTTTTCGCACGCTTAAGGAAGCTTACTAGTGGTGTGTCATCTCATGGTAGTATCAGTAATTCCTGGAGTTTGGTAAGTATATGTGAGGGTAATCTTCGATAAATTTCATTTTGTGGTAGCCTATGTGGACGGCATTTGTGTTTTTTCTCAATCAAAGTGGATCATACCAAGCACCTTTCAGAGATGTCTCTCGTGCTTCAAGGAAACATGTTTGCTCACAGAAGTGATTGCTATTAAGAAGAAGAAAAATTCGGGGTGTAGGTCACACCATTTCTAAGAATGGGTTGGGCGTGGACGAGCGAAAACCGCAGCAATCAAGGCAATGACGACAAGGAGCACGCGGAAAGAGCTTTAAAGCTTTTTGAGTCTAGCTGGTTACATCCACGCTAATCTGTCACTCTACGAAGATAGCTCTTACCCTAACCGGGTGGATCAAGGAGGATCTCAAATGGGAATGGGTCGACCTTCAAACAAAGGCACTTCAGTACAAAAAGGTGGTACCATAGCAAGCCCCCATAATACATCAATCGGCTTTTTCAAAATTGCTTGTACGTCACTACCGATGCCTTCGGTTTCTATGTGCGTGGCACACAATCACGGATCACTAATGAAAAGATCACCCTACCGCCTTTCATTCCAAGAAGTTTAAGCATCATGAACAAGGGTAGCCTGCTCACGAGCAAAAACTAATTGCGAAAAAGACTGCATTTATCCATAGGTGACATTATCCTCACGAAATAACATTCGATGTCTTTACCAACAACACCGCTTATCGTTGAATATCCTACCATTCCACCACCACCCCGGATGTGGCACACATGCTGATTTATTCTCTCAATTTGATTTTTCACTTCATCATGTCAAGGGTACTACCAGCGTTGTTGTCAGAGCGCAATCCCGGACGACGATTCGTGGCAGTAACGGGCCCCACTTCAATGCCTCAAGTTTAAGAATGTGGGTCTGGTCATATTGCGTGCGATCCTAAATTTCATAGTCACAGCCTGAGTACGCCGACTGAATGCTTTTTCCCGCATCAACTAGTATCTCCTTCTCGATTAGCACGGCACTTATAGGGGGATGAAATACCACACTTTGTAGAAGTTTTTCAAGTGCGGCAACTACGCATTCACATTCAAAGTTGTCACATCAAGTACGTTGCATTAAGCATACAGCTCTCCCTCGTAGTGATAAAACCCTCATTGCAGGTTACACCTAGGACCACGATTTTAAGAGCGAGCTACACAGAAGTCGTGATAAGAACGTGATGTCGAATGATATATTACACGTCAATACTAACCACGTTGTCATTAAACTTTTCATCCTCGCAGAAGATCGACTTATTACAATTATTCTGAAGAAGAATACGATGAAAACACACTAGCACACTCAGTTGTACATCGGACACAGCTTAAAGTGTTATAATGGTACGTCTGGACAACTTTAAAAAAGGACGCACATGAGTATGTACTAATCTGCGGTACGTGTACGCGATTAAGGACCTGCAAGCTCAAGAAATTTGCAAACTGATGTTCATTCCTGTTTTAGACGAATACTAGGAATTCGTTAATATGAGTTCAATAACGGGACTGCCGGCGCCAAGCGGGTTTGATTCCATCGTGTCTGTGGTTGATAAACCGTCGAAGCGACCAGTGTATGCTCCAACATACAAAAACACTGAAGCGCCGCAAGCTGCAAGATTCTATCAGGTGTTGTGCATAGATACACGGTATGCCAAGGGTTGTAATAAGCAATTGCGATTTAACTTTACATCAACATTTGGAAGTCGCTCGTGGCCAAATAGTACTAAGCTTTTAATGACTACAATTCACGGCGTGAACTCTAACGGCCAAATAGTGCGGCAAAGTTTGATTTTGTAAGACACTCTACGCTGCATGGTATCGTATCATGATCATAATTGTTCTGGTTATATCCGTACCATCGAGTTTGCGCAAGCTACGCTAGTAAGCAATTTAGTACAGCTAGCACCCTTTAAATTACACTGGGCGATAAGTAAGAAATGTTACTAATGGTGATCTCAGAGGAGGTTAAAAAGATGTTCGGAGCAGAAAAGTGCATGACATTTTGCAGAAAAGAGGCAAAGTATTATCGAGCTGGCATTAACTAACTTGGTGGAAGCTTGAAGGAGGCGGGACACGTGTATTTGTACAGATAGAAAAGCAATGTCACATTTAAAGCTGGAGATATGATAATGCAAGACGCCATACATCTCAATCATCGACATTGCTGTAATGCACAAGAAAAGATTAAGCTGAAACTAGCTGCAAAGAATTTTGGTCTGTTTAAGATTTAAAAGAGGATCGAAATCAACTGAAAATGCTCACTCTATCTAGAACCTTTAGCAAATTGCACTCGAGCTTTAACATCTACATGCTAATCCATTTTGTCCCAGGTCTATCAAGATTTAAAGGTCGACCCATACTGAAGGCATTACCTGTGGTGCTGGAGGAAGAAATTTGTGACAAGCCATAACATTGTACGTTTAACAAAAAGATAGAATGTCTTACCAAGGGGAATGCGCTCCCAAAATACGAATATACTTAGAATAAGGGAATACTATAGAGCACGTGGCTTACTGGAAAGCCTTAATGCAAGACTTTAAGTACTTTTGACGCAACTTTCTCTCGTGGAGGGATGTAGGGCTTGACGTAAATTTTCAAGACGTAATGATGGACGACAATTATTGGCTTTGGCATCCGTAACAGTGTCACTAAAAAGCACACCAGTCATGAATTCGTTACAGGGTACTAGAGAAAACCCACAAAATATTTTGTATGAATTGGACTATTTTGAAGTGTGAACGAAACAACCAAATGCACTTGCTTTAACGATTTCTCTTGAAGCATCACAATATTAGTGAAAGTGCGCAAGGTGCATACCGAGCTTTCCAAACATGCTTTCGATCCGTCCGTGTGAATTTTTGTCTATCCGTTGTCTGTCTGTCAAATAAGGCTAGATGTACTTCATACGTCGTACTATTTGTGGTGTGCAGTTTATTTACCCTTATCTCAGGTCGATAGGACTTATAAGTGTTACTTTAATGAGGTCACTAACGGCAACTGCGAGGTGTGCGATGTTCACACACGCACCACTGCCCGCGCGTGGATTTATCAATAAGGATTGAGTGAGGACCGAGGTATAACAAGCTAATGCTAGACACTCAGAAGCAGCAAAATCTTGCATTTACGTCAAATAGTGAATGTGAAGGATTTATCAACTTGATTACTTAATATAAACAACAGTCAATGGTTCTGGTCATATTATTATCTAAGTGGCAGATAAAGCTATGTCAATCTTCCCCCTACACCATTCGTTTATTATGTGACGTAGGCCGCACTTCATTTTTACGACGTTCCTCGCAGGATCATTCCAGTTTATTTTCTTCCACTTTTACCTTTTAACATAACAAAATCAACAATTAGCTTTAATACACACTGTAAATCTGTACTCTTATTAAGAAAGACACACCTTAGCACACTACGTCGGCGCCGACCCCCCCCAAATAGGTAGCTTTACTAACAGAACTTAATCTGGTTCTATAAATTCGATAATTATAGAAAGGAAAAGTACCCCCGCCAGGGCTTACTTCTTATCTTGTACTTATCAATTATTTGTCGGTGGCCGCGCTTTTTGCTGAATTCATGAACCAGCATTATTTTTACCAGCTCTCTTTCTAAGATTCGTCTACTTAACATCTAACGTCATCAGCTATCTCCTACACAGAATGATCTTCCTGCACTTTCATTCGTCGATACACAGCGTGCAACTCATTTGAAGCCACCCACCATCAGATTAATACGTGAATACACAAATGTTTATATCTGTTCTCGATACTAAGCTACTGATATAAAAGGGTGATTTCCAGAGCTTGCCTTAATGTTAGGTCGTGTATTATAAGTAAGATTGCTGATGTTTTAATGCACCTGGAAGGCATTTATTCATATCTGTGATATGGGACAAACAAATTATGAGAGTAAAGATCAGA